TTCCTCCCCAGTTCCTGTAAACCCAACAGTTCAAAAACTCACGTGAGTAGATAAATGGGTAGGGGAGGACCCAACTTTTAAGCCCATGTTAAAATGTGGATGCCATTCCTGGTGATCTTTTATCCAAGTACTAACTACATCCAACACTTAAGTAATAGGAGAAGACGACACACTTGATGAGCAGAAAAGTCATATTTAAAAGTATTATGGTGAATGGCCAGTATTTTATACAATTTTTGTAAGAGGTTATACAGCTCAAATTAAGATACGCAAACATTTTCTAGAAGATCAATAGAAGTAAATAAAATGGTTCAGATTGCCAAACCCTATAAATACAGATAGTAGAATGCTAGAAGTGCAACTACTTAAAACTAATTTTTATGAATAGAGTACTGCCATACTAAGTATTAGGCTACTAAATGTATGTGAACATTGCAATCAATAAGTGATGTGACAGAAAAGAAAACATAAAACAACATAGAAAGTATTAAAAACTTGTATATTTATAAAGTCTGAAAATTAGAAGACTTCTGTGTAGGCGCTGGTAGCTGAAAGAAATTTTGCTGGTGTTTTGGAGATAATTAGTAAAATCATTGCAGGAAAATGTGTTTGGCAAAAATAATTGCTTAACTGAACCTGAACCACCTCCTATCCCCAAAGTACCAAGTGGAGGACGAGGAAGAAGGAGCTGCAAAAAGTGAGAGAAAAACAAATAGAGCAATGCTGCAGGATTCCCCCCCTGCCCCCAACAAAAATCCTGAAATTAAAAGAATCCAAATTGATGGAAATGTTGGTTCTGCAGATTAATATCTAGTGTAATGAAATAATCACTTTCTATCTCTTGACTATGAGGCACAGCAAAGATGCAACAGGATTCTGATATTCAGTATCCATGGCAACCAGACTGGTCCCACCTTGAAGGAAGAAAGAAGAGATTCAAACCAATATGTGTTGCATTGGATTGTCACTCTTTTAAAGACACTTTTCTGTTTTTAAAATTGCCCTCCCATACAAACATAGTCACCTAGGAGAATTTGGGTCTGCCCTTGAGAAGGAGGTAGGAGAGGTGAAATGGTTGCTTAGCTCTGGGAAAGTAGAAAGTGTGAGAAAGAGGCTCAGAACAGCCCCATCTTCACTTTGTTTTCCTTAAAAAGGGGCAGTGAAGGTTTGGGATAGGTTTTCAAGATTCTCTTAATATACCCTACCACGGTAAAATAGCGTTCTTGAAATCCCTGCTGTATCTGTTTCTTGACTTGGGTCTGCTTCAAGTGGTTGACATCACTCCTTCCCCCCAAACTAAAAGTGAGCAAAATAAATATAAGAAACACCTTTGCTAAATTTGCATTTGCATTTAATATGGCATGATTACCATATATAATTACCATATTTAATATGGCATGATAACCATGGCTGAGCTTAACCCAGCCATACACTTGCATGCTGGTTCCAAGCCCTGGTAGATGGGGAGGGTTTACGAAAAACCTGGTGACCTACTCATAATGCAATTGCTTACCATCAAGAAGCTTTCCACTCCTTGGGCAAGTTTCTTGCTTGTGATAAATGCCACTCCATTCGTTTTCCTGGTGTCATGTCCTGAGTAATAGTGAATTCCTCAGACTGGAAATAGCCGCTGTCTATCCAGTATAGCTTACTGATGCCAAGGAGGTCGATTTTCAACCTGGTCATCTCCTGTTTGATGATATCCAATTTACCCTGGCTCATTCCTCGGAAATTCCACGTTGCTATCCGATGTGTCTTCATGCAGCACAGACCCTTGCTTTCGCCTATGGCTGTATTGGCAGCTGGGATTCCCGCTGGATTTGTCCCAGGCACATCATTAATGCCTTGACTACTCACTGCACCTCCGTGCTCTTCCCCAGTAGCTTGTTGGGTAACTTCTGGCCTGGGGGTCCTACCACTGGGCATCATATCTTAATCATTTGAGAGCCTTTCTGTAAAAAATTTTTGGTGAGGTTTTTACAAGGTAGGTGGCCAGGTCTTTCCTCAATCCTCCCCATTTAGCTGGGCTTGGGACCAGCATGCAATTGCATGGCTGAAAAAGGCAATTATGCTCAGAATGGTCAGTGGTAAAAGGAAATGAGGCCACCAAAAAACATGGAGGCTAGACACCATCAAAGATGACACCAACCAGAGCATAAAACAACTGAAGGAAGGCGTGCAGAATCAGAAAATGTGGAGAGAGCTGGTCCATAGAATCTCCAAGAATTGGACATGATTGAACGGATAGCATCATCATCATCATCATCATCATGGCATGATTAGTATGCTGATATTGTAAATGCAATGTGCTTTAGTTGAGAAGCTGTGTCAGAGCAAGATGTATAGAGAGAATTTGATCGATTGATGAATGCTTCTTCTCTGAAGTTTGAGGATTTATCCACATAGTTATCTATGAATCCATAACCATGTAGTTTTCTTGGGAGTAATACTAAAGTGGTTTGCCATGGCCACATTATGGTTGTGGAAGAGGGGGGCAGGTTGGACTTCCAAGTCTGTGCTTCAGCCCTGGTCTCCTATTCATGTACTAACCAAGTCCTACTCTGTTAGCCTTTTGAGATGGGTCCAGGTCAGCATGGTGCTGCCACCCAGATGTAAAGAAATTTCCCATTAGCAGTAGTTGCAGATTTCCTACAAAAGCAAATAACCAGCTTTCTGAAGAGGCATTTTCTGCTGGGATGAGAAAGGTTTAAATTCTGTGCCTACTCTGATTTCCTTCTTGCCTCTCCCTCATTCAATGCAATGTAATTTTAAAACAAGAAACCAGGCATCAGATGCAAAGAGGTATTTTGTCATGTGTAATTTGGCTCAGAGCATTGATATCCAGTTTCTAGAGAGCTTGCTTGTTAGCAGGTCCTTAAGCTTTATGGTTTCTGTATAGTTGTAATTTGTAATCTTGCTGTTGGCTGGGATTCTTGTAAAACCTTTTGGGCCAAACCCCAACCTGGATAATGCTATCAACTCTATTCTGGTGCTGTGTTTTGGAGGCCTGATCCTCCAGATTATGAAAATTGGAAGCCAACTAAAAACCATAACAATAAGTATAATAATGATTACTTACAGTTTAGCAACCATGACCCAAATATGTGGCTGACTTAGAAAATCTCCTTCTGATGTCATTTGTATTTCTGTCTGCAAGAGGTTCCCTATGAACGGAAAGTAGTTTCCTTTTTCAGTAAATAAAATGTATGTCTGTACAGCAGAAGGTGGAAGAAGGAAGGATGTGCCACAGTAGATTTAAGGCATTAGCACTTAATGCTCTATTAATGGCAAGCCTTTTCCACCTGGAGCTGCTGCTGTTTGCCTTTAACACATTCAAGCATCTCTTGAATTGGCTGTTGAGCTAAGTTGAAATGTTGCCAATAGCTATTGATTTTTTTAGCCTTTTTATTTTCTTGAGAAGGTTGCCTTTTGCTAGGGGTTAAGAGAAGGAAGGGAATATCTTCACTATATATAGTGACTATTGTTCTCTGGCTTGTGCCCTCCAGATGTGTTGTATACAACTTTCATAATCTCCAGCTACCATGCTCAAATTATAAGAGCTAATTAAATTGATAATATGTCTTGGATTACAGAATCTTATGCACAGATAAAATAGACTCTCTAGAATCTATAACCCTAGTCTTTTCTGCTGCTATTCCATCCAAGTGCTAACCTGTTTGGCTTTTTCAAGGTCAGCTACATGCTATTCACATGTGATTGATTATGTGCCATCCTAGTGACCACATTGACCTTCTCCAGGATGTTCTTTCCCAACTTGGTCCTTCATGTCTTCCAATGGTACACCCATTGCCGCTGTAATTGAGCTCATCCATCTTGCTGCTGTCCATCCTCTTCTCTTTCCTTCCACTTTTCTCAGCATTATGGACTTCTCCAGAGAGATTGGACTTTGCATAATTTGTCCAAAGTATGATAATTTGAGCCTCATCATTTGTGTTTCAAGGGAGAACTCTTGAGTTGATTTGTTCAATTATCCATTTCTTCATTTTGAAGGGGGCAGGGGGCTGTCATGGTATTCTCAGGAGTCTTTTCCAGCACCAAAGTTCAAATGCATCAAAACTCTTTCTACATTCACATGTACCTTGGATTAATTCTGATCACATATAGGTTTATTATCAGTCTCTCTAGCAGAAAAACCGTTGGTCTGTTTATACTTTATTATAAGATTGTTTCTTTAAGAGGTTTTAACTGGGATTTTTAAAACATAGATATTTTAAATAGTTTTTTAAGTTGTTTTTTTTATGTTTTGAAAATCAAATTTCTCTAACCTCAAATCTAGATTAATAAGAATAATAGTTTGTTGGCTCAATATTGGAGTATATTGTTGTATTTTTTTTTATTCTGCAGTAACGGTTCAGTGGATTCGATGAACTTCCTACTATATGAAGTTGGTGGCAACATAAGTACGTGAATTTGATATGCTTGCATTAATTCTTGTTCAGGGGGAGTATAGTCTACTAGTTTAAAGGGTAAGATTTGGCAGTGGGGAATAACCACTGTTGAAGGAATAAATAAGCTGGGCAGTGCTACTGTGGGGCTACAAAGCAGTATGAAAGTTGCTGAGAATTGTTCAGATTTGGCATACAGATAAAATCCTTTGATCAAATATGAGAAACAATGGCCTGGTTCATGGACCTGTTAAAACCATAACCCTGATTTAGCTTTATGTGTGAAGTACAAAGGATCCAGATAAGACAGTATTTAGTAAAAGGTGCCCCACATCTAATTTTGAAAGGGTAGAAAAGAGGGGATAGCAAATTGCTTAATCATCATCAAAATGCTTCCTAGGGAAATGCAAGTTTCTAGCTACTAAAAGTCCATTTATATCATAATGCTCAGAAGTATGTTTGGTTCTGTCATGAGCCTAATTTAACTCTGTATTTTCCCTTTATAACTAGAAACTTTTTCTTTATGGGATTTTCCTTCTTCCTAATCTTTACTTGTAGCCCAGACATAATAAGAGATCATGTTTCTTGAAAATTGTTTATGAAATCATTTGAAACTAACGGTCCATTACAAAGCATAAAATAATCTCTAGTAATAGGTTTATAGCTTATTTTTTTAATAAAAAACTGTTTTCCCCTTCTAACAGATGAACATTGCTTGGATCCGGATACATACCTTTTAGACCTGTACCATGTGAATCCTCATGCAGAATGGATTATAAGGCAAACCCCGTCTTTTCCAAGAACACCTTAGGAAGACTGCTTAGTAAAAACAGAATGAAACTAAGAATTTGTGTTAAATTGTTTAAGCAGAGGTGGGGATGTTGGAACCCAAAGCATCATCTGTTCATGAAGATAACAATTTTAATGGATCAGTAGGTTATGGAAAAGTAGCAGTATCTTTTAAATGTTCATTTGAGAATGTATCCAATAGAAGGTGACAGTGTTGTATGATAGGATTGCTTATAGTAAAGAAGAGCTGGTAGGAAAAAAGAAGGATGGAAAGATAAAAGTATTTGGAAAAGCTCATGCAGATAATCTGATTTTGAGGTTTGATTGGAGAGACTTAAAGACCTCACATGGGAACAGTGAAACACCAGCATCTCAATATGCAGTAGCTGGTTAACAACTGTTGACTTTTATAATGTGAAACTTAATATTTGAATTAAGGCTTCTTGTATAATCATTTTTTTTTAATATTCCTGTTGCTTTATTTCTGGAGAGCTCAATTGATAACCAGTTGCCTAGTATATAGGAAGAAAATGAATTACTGGAGTGGGAGTTCTGCCTTAAGAATACTTCTGTCCATGGACAGGGGTGATAAAACTATGCACAACTATAAACTGTAAGTAAAGAATGTCTTCTGCAATGAATTTGAACATTGCAGTTATATATAGAAATTGTGTTTATATAAGTGCAGTTTTACAATGGCATTTTTGTTTTTTAAAACAGTATGTTCTGAGTATATCTTCCTATTAGGCTACAGTAAACCATCTCAGTATTATTCTTTACGTAAACTTTTATCATTTTCTAATTGGATTTCATATCCCTGTCTGTTTGTAATATATTTTTCGCCCGAAAGACCGCCAATTAGAAATTTCGTATACATTTTTATCTAAGACAATCCATAAGTATCTGAGCCATATAATAATTTAATATTGATTCTTTGATATACCTTTTTTTTAAAAAAAAAATCATTCATAGGTGTATTTAGCAAAAACCTATTGCATTTGTCCAGGTTGTTCTCAAGAAAGCCATGATGCTCTACTTGGACATAAATGTCCATCTGATACCAACTTTTTAAAAAAACCACATTACAAAGCAAACCCATGTATTAGTAACTCAGTACTTTTTATTTTGTAGTTTTTGGAGAATTCTTTTTGAAGATTTATTTTTAATGTATTAAGTTGTAGCTAGTTCACCAAGCCTTGGAATTTTATTGGATAATAGAATTGCAGGAATGTGTGGAAATGCTGCTAAAAGTGGCAATTTTATGTAATTTCTCTGTCCTCTCCATGTTTAAATATTTAGGAAACATCTTCAAACCTGGTACCTTCAGATGTGTTGGACCTCAGCTTCCCACAAACTCAGGAACTGAAGTCCAATATTTATATGGAAGGAATAAGGTTGATATGATTACTTCCATTTATCACTGCAGTGCTTCCTCCTCCTAGATCAGTTATAGTTCCCCTCTTCTCCCAAGAATATTCTGATAGCATACACTGGACCAGTGTTGTCCAAACTTGGCCACTTTAAGATGAGTGGACTTCAACTCCCAGAATTCCCCA